ATCATGATTCCAAGGCCAGCTCTCTATCCTTTTTGCCTTACTATTTCTTTCATGCTGCCCATCATGTAAGCTCTTTTCTTTCCCTTGGTACATCTTCCACAACAGCCTTTGGGCTTTTTGTTGGAAGAGATGTGGAAAAATCAGGACACTAATTCACTGTTGGTGGGATTATGAACTGATTCAACTATTTTAGAGAGCAATCTGGAATTATGCCCAAAGAGTTATTTAACTGCCTAAATCCTTTGACCCAGCAATACCACTGTTAGGTCTGTTTCCAAAGATGATTAGGGAAATAGGAAAAGAACACATATGTTCTGAAATATTTATAGTAGCTCTCTTTGTGATGGCAAAGAGCTGGAAATTGCAGGGATGCCCGTCAATTGGGGAATGGCTGTACAAGTTGCGGTATATGATTGTGATGGAATACTACTGTGCTGTAAGAAACGATGAGCTCAATGATCTCAGAAAAATGTGAATAGACTTTAATGAAATAATGGAGAATGAAATGAGCAGAACCAAGAGAATGTAATACAGTATCAACAATATTGTTTTAAGATCAACTTTGAGTGACTAAGTCATTTTGACTATTATAAATACCCAAATTAAACTACAAAGGGCATATGAAAGAAGATGCTATCTGCATCCAGAGAAAGAACTGATAAATAGAAGTATGCATAGAGTGATTTTATATATACATACATACACACACACATATTTATGTCTAATGGTAGCTATCTCTAAGATGGGAAGGGAAGAAAAAAAGGAAAAAAAGAAAGTTACATGATAACTTTATTATATATTTAAAAGGAATAGCAAGGTGTACATAATCAATTTGTAGTTTCATGTACAATCATCTTTTTTTTAAATTCTACTATGTTATAAAAATGCTTGTTTTATTTCTTAAGTTTAGAATAAAATAAAAAAATGAAAACACTGTTTTGAGGAGTACATAGACTTCACCAGGTTTCACAAAGGGTCTATGACACAGAAAAGTTAAGAACTTTATAGCAACTTAGAGGGTCTTAATAACTTCCACTGAAAAATCACTTACTAGCCAGATATCTAACACAAGCACACTCATTTCTTAAGTTGGCCTTTAGGAGCCATTGCTGATATTGATCTTAAGGGACTACAAAGATTATGGTACATTATTATCTGATTAGAATTGTAGCTGGGTGGTCTGGATGAAGAAGATGGGCAACTTTTACCTACCCCAAGGGAAAAACAACAATAATAATTCTTATTTTTATAGCACACTTTAAGGTTTGCCAAGTGCATTCCATACAATAATCCTATGAGTTAAGTGGTACAAATATTTATGATCTCCTTTTTACAGATGAGAAAATTAAATGACTTGGTAAGGAGGAAAGACTACTAGTTCTGGAGGTAGAGGACCTGGGTTCTAATCCTATCTTTGATGCTTATTACTTATGAGTCATTTTAATTTCCCCCAGTTTAGTGAACTAGACTTCAAATCTTAATTTGTAAAATGTGTGTGTGTGTGTGTGTGCGCGTGCATGTGTGCACGCGCACGCTCTCACGCACGCGTGCTGGGGCATGGGAGGGTCACATGGCTGGTATGTAGCTGAGGCAGGATTTGCACCTGGGTCTCCTGACTCCAAGTCTAGCATTCTCCCTATTATGTAATACTCTTGCCTTTCAATGTGAGATTGTTTTTTCTTTAAAATAATAAATCTACTTCTGCCTGATTTACCCAACCTAGAAACAAAACTTTCACTCAGAGGAACCACGTTCCTTTGTAAATGGACTTTATGTTTTTGGTTTTTTTAATCAACAATCATTTCTGGGGTCTGTGATCCCATCATCAGATTTCACTTATGTGCTTGTTACAGTTGCCCATTGCAGCTAGAGAACATACAATGTGGGAGGGGTTAATTCCTAACAGATTTTGTTACCTTTCCCCAACTCCTCATTCACAACTTGGAGGCTATAGATGGAATTATTCTGGGAATCAGTAAACAAGTCTGCTATTTTATCCTTTCTTACACTCTGTAGGTCTTAAATTTGTACAAAGTTCTGCCAAAAAAGTCATTGAACCTTAAACTGCTTTCAAAATTTCACGTTTTCCAACTCCTCAGTAAAAAGATCACAGATTTAGAATTAGAAAAGACCTTGGAGATTAGGTAGTCCCAAACCCTTCATTTGCAGAGGTGGAAACTGAGGGCAAGAGAAAAAATTTTAAAAACATTTCTTCAAATCAAATAGGTCAAATGACTTGCCCCAATTGGTAGCATGTAGTAGAGCTATAATTTGAACTCAGGTGTACTGACTCCAAATTCAGTCTTCTTTCCACTATCTCCCAAAGAGCATCTTTCTCCCCTGCCTCCACAAAATTGGGAAAAAATAAAGGAAAGAGGAGCACCCAGGACACAGAGCCTCTAGATAAAGAGTCCTGTGAATGGCAATTTAATCCTCACCTACAATAGAAAAGGAAACCTAGACAGCAAGGCAATGCAAAAAGGCTTCATGCACTTGAGGAGATGAAGAGGTTGACCTGGGAGTGGCTAAAATAAAGGTTCCATAGATTTGCCTCCACCCCTGCTCTTGGCCCTGATGCTTGGCATACTAAAAAGGTCTGTCTCTGCATGCACGCCTTCTGTCTTTGCCACCAGAAAACCCCAAGTGGTCAGTATGGATTGGGTTCTTGGCAGTGATGGCCTTTTACTGGTAAATGAAAACCACATTTTTCAGCCTTTGCCCAAAGAATCTCAGCTCTCATCCTCCACACTGTTCCTGTTTACTGTTATTGTGACCTCTACAATGACACTTCTTGATTTCAAGAACATTAACATGAATGACTTTGAAATCCTTTGCTGATTCTTTTTAATAAAAGTTACAACTGGAATGGCTTAGAGCATGGCAATCTGAGCTAGCCTGTGACAAGGCAGTATTGTGTACTGGAAATCTGGAGTGAGAGGATCCCAGCTTTTTCATGGGTCATCTTGGGCAAATCAATTAACTAGGCCTTACTTTATTCATCTGAAAAATGACATTGAACTAGGCAATCTCCAAGATGCTTTTCGGGGCAGCTAGGTGGCACAAGGGATAGAAATGCCAGGCCTAAAGTCAGGAAGATTTATTTTCATGAGTTCAAATCTGGTCTCAGACACTTACTAGTTATGTGACCCTGGGCGAGTCACTTAACCCTGCTTGCCTCAGTTTTCTCATCTGTAAAATGAGCTGGAGAAGGAAATAGTAAACCAGTCCAATGTCTTTGCCAAAAAAAACCCCAAATGTGTTCTTGAAGAATTGGATAGGACTGAAAAAATGACTGAACCACTCAAGATACCTTTCAGTTCTAAATTCTGTGGTCATAAGTCAAGGAATTTATACAACCTTTCCTCATGGGCATCAAGAATGAAGCTTTCCCATCATACAGTCAGAGTCTGTCCTATTTGACTATAGTCATTCATTTAGTCATTAGTATTCTATTCTGAGGGGCAGCTAACTAGGTGGCGCAGTGGATAGAGTGCTGGGCCTGAAGTCAGAAGACTCATCTTCCTGAATTCAAATCAGCTGGGCCTGGGCAAATTACTTAACCCTTGTTTGCTTCAGTTTCCTCACCTTTAAATGAGCTAGAGAAGAAACTGGCAAACCACTCCAGTGTCTTTGTCAAGAAATGGGGTCACACGAGGAGTCAGACATACTGGAATGATTGAACAACAACTCTAAGTTGACCTCGCTGCCTCTGTAGGCTGTATACCTGAAAGTTTACCAAAATATTTTGCACTCCATGGTGGAATGTCCCAATTGATCATCAAAGTCTTAGAGGATTTCAGAGGAATTCAGAGAAACAGTGCTAAGACCTTTTCAGTAAAGGTTTCAAATCCAAAAAAAGTTAGACATTTTGGGTGGAACAAATGGAATCCAGGCACACGGCAAACTTAGGATAAGTTCCAGAGATGGCTATGGGGTGCTGTAAGAGTTCTCTCTTTTTAATGCAGGGATCCTGAAATGTCTATCCTCTTCTCGGAGGATACACATCTGTAGCCCCTTTCTTCTAGATAGTGGGGGGATGGGGGTAAATAATCCACCTGCATAGTATAAAATTGGCTGATTCCCATGAATATATTACACAGATCCTGACACTCTCATAGCTGCTAAGGAATGAGATGTGGGAAGCAGTTGTGGGAGGCAGAAGGAATGAGGTGGAATGAAGAGGAGAATAGTCACTAAAAGGGCAATTCAGACTTAAAGCAGTGTTACTCAGGGGCAGTTTGTGGGTTTGTACCTTAAACAACAATAGTTTGTGGTAAGTACAGATAGCAAGCACTCAGCACACTCCCTCCCAGTGAGCTGTCCTCAGCAAAAGATGGAAGGATGGATTGAGGTTGCTTGTTGCTTTTAGACAGCTGCCCTTTGCCAGCAGTGAGTGTCTTTAAATAGAGAAGATGCCAAGCATCTCTTCTTCAGTCTATATCCACTCTTTGTATAGTAGTACATAACAACTACATTTTCTCTTTCTTAATGCTTTCTTAGGGGAGTTTTCAAAACCCCTTCCAATTAATCCTTTCTTCCTCTAACCTCTGCTTGTCCTCTTGTAGTAGGACCAAGGCAGAAGGACCTTCTGGGTCATTTGAGGCATCTGGAGGTACAGTGGGATCTGATGCTCAAAGGTTAAGAACCACACGTCAGTAGGATGCAAGGCACAAGGGCCCCAGCCTGTCTGCCTAGAGAGCAAATAGGACCTTAGGTCAATGTCTGACCTGAAGGCCCAGGTCATTAGAAATACTCTGCTCACTGGTAGCCCAGGTCAGAGCCCTGTCCTCTAAAATCCAGATATTCCTGGAAGGAGTTTAGACTAAGCCCAATCTATGCTATGAATTCATACAGTGCTTTAGGTAAAGCAATCCCCAAGCAATGACACTCAGTGTTATAACAGAGCAAAAAGCTGGTTTAACTTAGCATTGTGACATATCTAGAAATGAACATCCACCTTTCTCAGAGGCCTTTGGAATTAAACTCTCTGGAAGTCTTACCTGTTTGTCTGGGAATTGTTCTAGGATTAAGTCACTGAGTATCTTGCTCAGTGAAATGATTCCCCCTTGCCCCCAGATCACCAGGGAAGGGTCATCACGGCATGCTCGAGGTTCACTGTTGGCCCCAGGTACCAGCCCAGTCTGGAATAAGGATGAGGTACATGGGGTGAGATAGGTTTGTCCCTGGCAGGTGGGGGTGTTTGGATTCACCAGCCTACATTTTCCCTTGAGAGGTGGCCAGTGGTAGTCCTACGATTGTCCCCTATCTCTATTATAGTCTCATTTGAGGGAGATGCCACATCAGTTGAAATTCCCCCAAACTCCATGCATCATGCTAACATGCAACAGTGAGATAGAAAGTGGGAAACTGTCTTATTTTGGGACCTTGGCCAGAAGTCAGAGACCTGGGAACTTCTGTTCAAACTGATAAGATTAGGGTGCTAAAGACCAGGGGCTAGAACCTACTACTGAGAGCCTTAAAAGAGGGCTCCCATCCAGGCAGGAGAAACTGCCCATTACATAAAGCTCAGCAGAATCCAAGCTGTCCTTCCAGGGCCATAATAGTCAGAGATCCGTGGTGCCTAAAGGATCAAAGATTATGAGTTCCCATATTCCTTGGTGATCTAGAGATCTCTTTCAAGCCATCAAAGTTTCCATTTCCCCACACTTCAAGGGGATAATTAATCCTTCTCACTGATCCTGAAAATCAGGCATGGGAAATTTTGGAGTAAAAAAAAAAATGATGCAGGCAGTTAGGTGGCACAGTGGATAATGCACAGGGCCTGGAGTCAAGAAGACCTGAGTTCAAATCCAGTCTCAGGTACTTCCTAGCTGTGTGACCCTGGTCAAGTCACTTAATCTCTATTTGCCTCAGTTTCCTCACCTATAAAATGAGGAGAATAATGGCATCTACCTCGAATGGTTGTTGTGATGATCAAGTGAGATAATATTTGTAAACCACTAAGCCTAGTACCTGGCAAATAGTAGGTGCTATATAAATGCTTATGTCCTTTCCCTTCAATCTTCCCTCATGCCTGGGTACTACAGTATAGAAGCACTCTCCAGACTTGGAGTCAGAAGAAACATGAGTTAAAATCCTGCCCCTGATACTAGCTGTGTGACCATAGGCAAATCAATTAACTTCTCTGAACTTGTTTCCTTGGTGGTAAAAGGAGGCTAAAATTCCCTTCAGTACCTACCTCACAGGATTCTTATAAGGCCTATATGATATGATATATGTAAAGTGCCTTGCAAACTTTGAGGCAATGTAGAAATTTTGGTCACTTTTTAGTTGTGCCCAACTCTTCATGACCTCTTGTGGGGTTTTCTTGGCAAAGATAATGGAGTGGTTTTGTTATTTCCTTCTCCAGCTCATTTTTTAGATGAGGAAACTGAGGCAAACAGGGTTAAGTAACTTGCCTGGGTCATTCAGCTAATTAATGTCTGAGGCTGGATTTAAACTCATGAAGATTAATCTTCCTGATTCCAAGCCCAGTGTTCTACCTAGCTGTGCTACCTGGCTGCCCAAGATTAGGGATGATATAATGATACATAGTATCAAGACCTGTAGGTCTTGGTGGAGAAATTCAAACTGATACATCCTGTCAGTTCAGCCTGACGTTAGGACTTCCCACCAGCTCATGCTGCTAAAAACCAATATGCAGAATGGAGTGTGTAGTTCTGAGTTTGACGGAGCTCTTTCTATACTAATTACACCTTTCTTCACTGGTATAGAAATCTGTCCAATACATGAGCCTTCCAGGTGAACAAGTGTCAGGGGCATCAAAAAAGTGAACAAACTAATGGCTGAACTCTTGAGGATAGCCTCTGGCAGTGTGTGACTCCTTATATGGGAAGAGAAAAAAAAAGTGATGGTATATTAGGAAACTGGAAAGAACCTTTGTTCATCAGCTGCCAACCTTCACTCATTCATAGTTTCTCCAGAAGAATTAACTGAAAAAGACACTGGCACAAGATAACAAAAGGAATCTTGCCCAAGGAAAGCAATCTCCTCAACATTCAAAAGCAATTGAATGCTTACTCAAAAGCAAAATGACCAGAAATCCTCAAAATCAATAACAACAACAACAACAACAACAACAAAAAACAAACCCAAAAACATTCAAAGAGATAAGCAAGCCAAGGAAGAACTTTCTCCCTCCCTTGCTCCTTTCCTCCTCCCTCCCTTCTGCCTCCCTCCTCCCCTCTCTCTTTCCTTCCCTCCCTCCCTCCTCACACTTAAGGAATTAAGAGAAAAATTAGCAAAAAAATTATAGGATTAAATAAAGGAGCTGAGTGCAACTAAGGAATCTTAGGACAAGATGATGAAACAACAGTTTATTCATTGAAAATATAAACAAACAAAAATAGATTGGATAAAAATAAATCATTACTGGAAGACAGAATAGTAGAAACAAAGGAAACATAAAAGCAAGCCCAATAAATTATTTAACCGAAAAAAGATTTAGAAAAAATGTGGACAAAAATTGACAAATATAGAGAAAAGAGAAAAAAGAGAAAACTTAGAAGCACTGGGTTGATTGAAAAGAAAAGAAAATAATTTTACCACTATATTGAAGGAAATTATATACTAAAGTACCTCAGAAATGCTGAAAAATAAGGGATGGATTTTAAATCAATAGAATTCATAGGAAGAAAACCAACAGTGGTGAATCCCAAATTCAACTCACTCAGACACACACACACACACACACACACACACACATATTTTGGTGAGGCAATTGGGGTTAAGTGACTTGTAAGCATTACGTATCTGAGGCTGGATTAGAACTCAGGTCCCTCCTGACTTCAGGGCTAGTGCTCTATCCACTATGCTACCTAAATGCCCCCAACCCAGATGCATTATTGTCAAGCTTCAAAACTATAGGAGGCAATATAAGTAGCCAATAAAAAATGGCTTTTATTTAAACAAACCACTAATTAGAATTTTAAAAGATTTTTGTATGAAAACAAGAAATGACAGAACAGGCTGGAGTATGATTTGCCAAAATAAAAAAGATAGAGGAATTCATCCCCAGATTGTTTCCCAAGAAAATCTAAGCATTCTTTCTGAAGGCAAAAGATAGCAATTAAAAATAATTTTATATTTATGGAAATGCCATGTTAAAACAGCTTTTGACATTCAGAACCAACAAGAGCACAGAGCTTCTGGCACAGACTTGATTAATCATATTCATAGATAGTTTGTAACAACAATTGCAACACTAACAATTAAATAGTATCTCCATGTAATTACCATAAGAGGATGAAAATCAAGGCAGAGAGAACCCTAGAGAAGGTATAAAGTCCTCGTTGTTCCCTGATAAGGCTTTTGTTCTGATATAGACTCAGTATAGTGGCTATGTCACGCACCTGAAATATGCCTTTGGCCTTGATCAGAGGTCAGGAAAAAGAGCTAGGAGGTTATTTGACTATTCAGCAGCCTTGAGTTCTTTCTCTTTGCAGGTGGGCCCTATCTAGGATGGAACTATGAACCAGTCAATATTGTGTAAAAGAGATGGATCAAAGAAAAGATAAGACATTTGGATGAAGAAGATAACAATTAATTGAGGAAGGAGAAAAGGTAAAAATCCTATACTCATTTCATTTTCTCTGCTATGGAAAATAATCTTTGGACTGGAAATGATAATGAAAATAGGAAAAATAGGGAACCTATGTCCAAGGTATATAGGGAGACAGTCCACCTAACTACCTTTCATGAGTCACCAAACCCAGATGTACTACAAGAAGAAATTGTAGATACTATTGCTGAGCCACAGTGAATAATATTTGAAAGTTGCCAGAAAACAGGAAAGCTGTCTGAGGACTAGATGAGAGAGAAAATATTTTAGTATTTTTTTTTCTTTAAAGGGAGATGAGTGAAGCCTGAGAACTGTAGGCTAGTAAATTTGATTGCAATTTCTAGCAAAATTCTAGGACATATTAAAAGGATGGTCAGTGAACATTTAGAAATGGAAGCAGTGATCACAAACAGCCCACACAATTTCATCAAGAACAGGCTATACCAGACTAAACTCTATTTTTTTTTGACAGGGAAACTAGATAGGGGGATGAGAAGAATGCTACAAATATAATTTATCTATATTTTAGCCAAGTATTTGACAAAGGCTCTCAAGTTATTTTTATACGTAACATGAAGAAATGTGGGCTAGATTACAGTTCAGTCAGGTAGACTATTTGGGCTGTGAGGTAGCATGGTAGATAGAATGCTGGGTCTGGAGTCAGGAAGATTTGAGTTCAATTCTGGTCTCAAACAGTAGCTATGTGACTCTGGGCAAGTCATTTAACCTGTTTCCCTCAGTTTCCTCATCTGTAAAATGGGGACAATAATAACACCCGACTCCTAGGTTGTTGTGAGGATCAGATGAGAAAATAATTGTAAGGTGTTTAGCATAGTACCTGGTACATAGTGAGAGCTTTACAAATATTATCTATGATGATGATGATAAAAAAACAAGTTGGAAGGATAAAGATTAGTGATTAATGGTTCAGTGTCAACTTGGAGTGGGGTACTGTGGTGGAATAGCCAAGGGTTCTGTCCTTGGATTTGTGCTGTTCCACTTAAAAAAAAAGTTACTCAGATCCTTTTTTTAAAAAAAAATTTGTTAAAAATGTTATTATTTATTTTTAACATTCATTTAAATTTTTTTGAGTTCTGAATTCTCTTCCTCTCAGCCCTCCCCCACCTATTGTGAAAGCAAGAAATGTGATATCAATTATACATGTGAAATCTTGCAAAACATTTTAATACTAGCCATGTTGCAAAAAAAGCAAGAAAATTAAGTGAAAAAATTATGCTTCAATCTGCATTCAGACTGCATTAATTCTTTTGCTTGGAGGTGGATAGCATTTTTCATCATAAGTCCTTTGGGATCATCTTGGATCATTGTATTAATCAGAATAGCTAAGTCATTTACAGTTAATCATTGTACAATATTGCGTTACTGTGTTCTCCTGGTTCTGCTCACTTCACTTTGCATCAGTTCATATAAGTCTTTCCAAGTTTTTCTGAAACTGTCCTGCTCATAATTTCTTATAGCACAATAGTAGTCCAATATAATAATACACTAACACAGTGTCATATATAACATAATTATAATATATTTTATTATAATATACTA